ACCTTATTCCTTCCTCTTTATATATCCTGTACTGTAATAGCCATTCTGAATGTGCATAGATGGGATATCGTGGGACTGATCAGTCATCTTCGGCAACTACAATGGATTCCTCGCCTTATGCTTTTTATTGTCGCCGAGTCAGTACAGTAGTGCGTCTGTTTGACTCTTTACAAAGACCTCCAATGTAGGGTTCGATAAGGCGCTAGGCATTCGTACAAACTGACCGTTGCTTAGTTAGCACCTACCCGTAGTACCGAAATAGTCCACAACACTGATCACCAGTCCCATAGATATTTATACATGAGGTGCGAGATGTGTTATTAGATTCATAGATATTTTGCCTGACTTCTCCTAATATACCCTTTGTTCCGTTAGGACCAGGTTAACATTGCTATAACAATTGAAATTATCCTCGTGGTGGTCACTGGCGCTATGGCAGCTGGCTATCTTCTTTACAGAAGTAGCCTCCCTGCACCGCTCCCTGGTATCCCGTACCAAAAGAAGTCAGCTGAACGATTAATAGGGGACATACCGGACATGCTTACGGATGTGTCGTGAGGGAGAAGCATAAACCTTTGGTTGCGTGATAATAGTGCATCCTTCAACTCCCCAATATGTCAAGTCTTTCTCGGTGGTCCATTTTCGAAACCTACTGTCATTCTTGCAGACTATCACGAAGCTCGCGACATTGAAACACGACGGGCTTCCAGCTTTGACCGCAGCTCACGAACTAGAGATGTGTTTGGCCCCCTCGCACCAAGTTTCCATTTTGTACTTCCTTCAGGGCCCGAATGGAAGGCTCACCGAGTCAGCGCTGCCCTCAAATCAAACAAATCAAATCCAAGCCTATATTTGTTTGTTTGATATATTTTGAAGCCATATTTGTTTGTTTGAAATATTTGATCAAATATTTGAAATGCTGACTACTCGTTCATGCTACCAACGCTGCTGTCTGCTCCCCGGCACCAGACCACTGACCCCAGCTTCACAGCACCATGTCTCGTCCAGTTTTTGAGGCACTGGAGTGCCTCCAGCGTCGTTGGGCTCATCGAAAGTCTTTGTGATGTCAAGGACAACTTTGCCAGACTGAACGACCTTTCGCAATTAGTAGCCATTGCTGGTATCGCAAACACATCCAGCGCCAGTTGACTGAGCGCAGGGAACGAAGCTTGATGTGTTAGCCACCAGCTGATCGGGTCATCAGTATCCTGAGTCTCCATTCGCATATACCTGTCAAGCTCGCTGCCTGTCGTCGCCGCTTTACTCGTTCTACTCTTCACCCACTGTTTGAACTCACTCGCTTCGCCGTGCTTGTCGGCTATTACTAACGCCCTTACCACGCTTGTAGTGGCCGGCTTATCAGTAGCATGAGGTACCAAGCGACGGTACTATTTGTCAAAGTAATTAGAGAGACTGGTCTTGGCATCTCTCACCCATACAAGCTGCTCTTCTGTCGCCTAATTTATCTCCAAGTATCTAATTCCAAGCCTAGGATGAAGAATAATCGCCGCTGCAAACAGCGGAGACTCTCCTAGTTTAATATAGTATTCGTTCAGCTTCTGCCATGTATTAGTAATATATAGCTTCAGGTAGCAGCGATGATCGCCCTATATATCTGCCGCCTTAGACACACTCGCTGGTTTGCCTGACCGAGTGTATATATCCGGAATATATTCCAGTGGTGCTCTTTCTAGTCGCTGCTACGATAGTAGATCAATTTCATAGTTATTAAAGCAAGCTGGCCGTTGACATGCACGACTTAGGTATCCTTGAATAGTTTCAACCGCTTGCCTAGTGTTTTCCTCCATTGCATCCTCTGAGGTATCGCTGTAGAAAGCTTTCCAGTCCTCCAGGTGTTCTAACAAGTACTCAATGCTTGTTAATACTTCCTATAGACGTCTATGATTATCTCCTTTGCCCTAGCCTTGTGTTCTCATCGTCTGCAGGTAAAAAGGCTCGAGAATGTGCTTGATCTCTCCGAGCAATCGCCAGTCATCAATGTTTAGCACATCTTCGAGAGGCAGGTTTCCTTCTATATTAGGGTGTACTATAAATGCCCTTATATTATTCTGCTTAAGTATGGCTCGAGAGATCATTAAATATGTAGAATTCTCTCTCGTATTATTATCCATTATTACTTCAACCTCTGCGGTTGACTCGAATACTAGCTGAAAGCCTTCTGATTCATCATTTTCACGTGCCGCTCGCTTGAATAGCTCGCTTCGTTGCGGGGACGATCTTATGAACTTGACTATATTATGGAGCTTTCCGACCAGTCCTCTCTTTCTCCAATGCCTCAGGTCCTCTTCCTGGCGGCTAAGGAGACCAAAAACCTTTGATTCAGCTTCAAAAGCCTCAAAGTCTTCACTGTAAAGAAACGCACGCGCAACCAAGTTCAAAATATGACCATAGCAGCGCATGCGCCTAGCACGTACGTCTGTAGGCTTCAGCTCCGGGTTGATGTTTCGGTAGAAGCTTTGAAGGCATTTGTCATTAGTCGTGGCGTTATCGGATATAATAACTCCCACCTGGCTCTTTATTTCCCATTCTATGGCAACTTTCAGGAGAGTAGTAGCTAAATTAGTGCCACTATGGCATCCTAGCTGATGGCGTAGACCAAGCAAGCGTGTCTGCTGGTTGCCACTACGATCGAGAAAGTGGGCTATAACAGCCATAATAGCATAACGATTAGGGGATGTCCAAAGATCGAATCCTAAATGGATTTTCATGACTGCGTCACAGAGCTCTTGTTGGATAATACGCTTCTTGGTGTCGTAGATGTTATATAGTTGGCGACTTATCGATTATCTGCTCCATAGCACCTGATCAGCGACTTGTGGATCGAGTTGCTAGAGAAGCTGCTTAAAGTACAGGTTTATGAAGACAGAAAATGGTAAATCTGCATTAACAATAAGTCCTATACCAAGCTCACGTACGGCGTTGATCTTGGCTTTCGGCACAGCACTATAGTGTAAACGAGGTTGTTTAGCTCGATCAGAGTCGTCAGTCGATGGGTCGCTTTCTGTAGTAGGACTACCTTCAAAGATCCTATGTATTCTATTTTGTAAGCTCTTGCCTTTACGTGCACTAAATAGTAGCAGGCATACTTGCGAAGGTGATCGGCAGCAGATGTGGTCGCGCTTGCTGCGAAGAATACTGGCTGACTCTTTGCATCGCAAAGATGACTAACCTAGTAACCAGCTAACGGAGTGTCGCTGGCGTCAAGCTCAACGACGAAGAGCCTATGCTGTTTAATCTAGCTCTTCCTGCCTTTAGAGCCTTTCCGAGACAAGGATTCCTCTAAGACATATCGCTTATTTCTCTATACGACGAGAGGCAGATCTCTAACTGCGGCACCCTCAGGAAATGCTGTTACAACACTTGATTCGAACTGGCTGCATAAGGTTTTAGGGGATTTAAGGATTATAAAAGCCGACGGCGCTAGCGAAGTGTCCATTTTAGTACAGTTAGCTTGTTGTAGGCGAAGATATAGATGCCCTCAGATGTAGTAAATAAACCCGCGACGCGTTTCTTCAAGTAACGACGCGACATGGGCCTTATGTTAAAGGTATACCTCTTTATGCGATAATGTTAGGAGGTAATTTAAGTATCTCTCTACTAGAGGCGAAGTGAAGTGAAGTGAATTTATTTACGTCTATAGAGCGCTCTAGCGGAGCATAAGACGTGCAGTGCAGGTATTGAACAGTTCTAGAGGCCGCTTATCCATTGCGGACAATACCAGCCGTATATATTCAAGATATACACGACGCCAAGCTGTAGGGTCGATCCCAATGAATCAATGGCGATATATCCTCAAAAACCTCCTCCAAAATACCACAGTGTCGCGATAGTTTTTCCAGCTCCTTACCCGTCAGTAGGATCCAGAGAGCTCCATCGGGCAACGCCGATGAAACCTGTTGACATCTGGTTTATATATGCGGACCAGTGCACCCTGTAGTCGGTGGGATGTGCATCCCAAGCAGTAATTGAACACAATTACTAGGTTAAAACAATCCAAAGATTGGGGCCTCCGGCTAGATTCGAACTAACGCCCCATAGCAGACATGTAATTAATCCGATTAATTTGAATCCAACAGAGGATTCAGATTAATTATTGAATCAGGCCCTCGGATTCAGATTAATTATCGGATTCAGCGATTCAATTATCTTTTTAGAAGTAAACCATTCCTAAACGGCTATCCCGAAAGTGTTGTATTAGCCTTCTTTCTACTTAGATTACACTTCGGCTTCTATATCAGCTAAATTCGCATCCATGATATCTGGTGTCACCCACGACCGATCTAGAAGCCCATTCTTGGTCCAGTGTTTTAAGCACTCCGTGTACTCCACCACCTGCGCAGACAGCCGGCTCCTGTCCTAAGAGATTGTCCGCCGCGCTCCGCTAAATACTCGTTCCGCCTCTGCTGACATTGCAGGTATCGAAAAAATATTGATAGCGAGCCGGTAGAGGGAAGGGTACGAAGTCTGCTGCGTTGGTTCCAGCCACCAAGAAAAGGCCGAAGAGTTACCAATTGGAAGTGTCGGCCCCTCAATGAATCGACTGAACTCATCATGGCAAGAAGACTTTTGGTATACTCGTTTCTTATACGCTTCGTACGCCGAAAGATCATCCTCTGATTCGGGCTGCTGCTGTGGCCTGAAATCTTCCCAAAGTCGCCGCACAGCCTCTACTGCAGGAACAATATATTGAGACTGGTCTTTCCACGCCTCTTTTAGATATGCTATTCGAAGGCTAGGATATAGCAGAATCGCAGCAGCATAAACTGGCGTATCGTCGGTACGTGTGTAATAGTCATCGAACTTATACCAGCTTGTCATGATACGATTAGCCATCACAATTTGCGACTGGAATCGCTTCATGGCAGATTTATAGTGGGTAACAAGAAAGTCCATGGAAATATAACCTCGTCAAGAGATGATGTATCCCATTAGGTATCCTTAGTTATCTCGTGAAAGGGTTCCAGAAAGTCGTGGATCTCTTACAGCTCTTGCCAATGTTCTGGGTGAAGGTAATCAAGCTTAATATCACTTGCTGAATAGCAATCATCCATAAAGCTATTCAGTTCGCTACGGAGAGCGATGGCTACATGGACCATTCGATACCATGAGTTCCACCTCGTTGAATTATCCTGTGGGATCATGCGGCCAGCAACTAGCAGGAATGCTTGATACCGTTGCGTTGATGAGCGAATCCATACCACAAGATTGTGAAGCATTCCAAGCGCGCCATATTGTCGCCATGCAGTTGCCGATTCCGCTCTCCCAGCATCTCCTTCTTGCTCCTTGCAAGACAGCTGCGACGTCTGCCGTATGGCCTCGTCAGACGCATCTTTATTTTTGCCGAATAAGAACGCTTGGATAGCTAGGTTGACGATATGACCGTTACAACGGAGACGACGGTGGGCTGGATCAAATTTACAAGCCTCGGCAATAGCTCGTATCATCGTATCATTATTATAGGCATTATCGAGGGTGAAGTATCCAATCTTGCCGCGCAGCTCGTATAGATCAATGACTTGGAGGAAAGCCTCTGCAATAGCTTCCCCACTATGCGCACCTTCGAGCTCTCGTAACGCTAGTAATGCCTTTTGCAGCTGCCGCTTTTCTAGGTTAACGAAGTGAGCCACAATTGCGAGAAAGCTGCGATGATTCGGGGAGGACCAGATATCAATACTGAAGTGGATCTGCATGGGTGAAGTTGCTAACTTTACTGCTAAACACGCACGATGCGTAGAAAAGCTCGACTACAACAACTTTGGAATTTGCCCGCGACTTTACGTAACAACACTCGGAGCTATATAATTCACCATACGGAGTAAGGCATACCATTCCGGCCACTCGACAAGGGAATGAGGAAGGCTATGAGCAGTGATGAGCTTCACTAGTGCCTGGTTGTATGCGTCTGGGTCAATACAGATGCGGAGATGCCTCTCTTCTTCAATGTCTTGCCCTCTTTGTCGCGCTGCCTGCTGAAGAAGAAGCGTATCAATTACGGCTTCCTGCCTCAACTTTTTGGCTGGTTGGTCGAAAATTTGCACACAATGCTTGTCCCGGAGGTGGCCGCGGACTCTGTTGTGGGCGGTCTGGGAGTAAGAGCAGCGCTTGCAATACCATATCTTTTGGCCGTGCTTGTTACGTCTAGGCTCGTCGCTGTCAGGAGCACGGCTCTCGGCCCAAATGTCAAGCGTAGTAGGGGTGCGAAGGCGCTTCCTGTATACCAAAGGTGATGACAACTCTGAGTGCTGAGATAACTCGCCTGTTGTGATTGTATCTTCTATAGGCGCTTTATTTATTGGCTATAAAGTTATTATTAAGAAGTCTAAGTTAGTGAATAGATTTGTAGTAGCGCGGTAAATATGCGGTACCCAAGAACACCAGCAAGAGGTAACGTAAACAGCCAGCCAATAATATAACTTATCTGAAGTGCCTCTCCACTTTAATTAATCGTTGAAACCTAATTAATCCTGGAGAGGAACGATTCAGATTATGAATCTAGCGGCCGGATTCAGTTTCAATTAATCACTAATTAATCACGGCGATTAATTACATGTCTGCCAGTGCCCGGCAATATAATATTATTACGGGGTTCTCATATTGCCAATATACGTATTGTTTGTACTATTAGCAACACTGACTCCAATAATATGAAGTAAAGGCATGCCGTATTTGTTTGTTTTGTAGGTGCAATCCATAATAATGACTTTTGGGTGCTGTTGCATTAAAGTAGATGATTTAAGATGCGAGAATAGAATAGAATGGATCTGATCATCGTCTCCAAGCTCAATTCGATACCAATATCCGCATTCATTCAACTGTGTTATCAAATATCCCATACTACTCTGGCCAGCGTGCTTGTTGACTCGTGATCGCTGTATTTCGTTACTAATATCTTGCTTTGTGAGTAATGAAGCCTCTTCCGAAGCCTGTATAAGCGTTTTGATATCCCTGGGAGCAATCCCAATCTTGTGTAGGTTGCTTATTTGCTCTTTTATTGCGGCCGAAATAGCTCGATGACTCGGATGTGCTCTGCGCCCAGCGCTCGGTTCATGATTATGCTGATTAAACTTGGCATCTGATCTATGGCAAATCCGCCAGGTAGCAGCATCAATCTGCCTTCCAAGTATTGAAAAACAGCAGCCTGTACCACGCGCAGAAGTTTTTCGAAATCTTGGTTTTGTTGTATTTGGCGGCGTTGTGTGCCGGTCACAGTAGTATTCGATACGCTTTTTACCAGACAATGTTAATCTAGATCTTCCAATCGAAAAGGCATAACCTCGTTCAGAAGCCCAGCTCTGAATAGCTTCGTAGAGTGCTTCTAAAGTGGCATATTCCATTTCTGGCGGTAAGCAATCATCTGGGAACGTAGCCTGCTCATCAACAGGCAAATCAGACTCGGAGTACTCAGAAAAGGCGTCAATTTCAGCTAGATCATGCACAGAAGAATCCATTGTGAGCTTTAATGAATGTAAATAGTTTCATTGTTGTTTTCTATGTTCTGAGCGCGTTGTGGCGGGTTATTTTGGTCAAATGACCCGCTGTGGATTACATCAGCAGACCCGCGGTGAAAATAAGTAAATCCACCCTGCCAGTGTACCTAGCGGTTCCCTCCTCTTCAGAATTAGTAAGCTTTGACAATTAGGGGCTACCTCCTCTCGCGAGGACTTGCCAGCGATTCAACGGCGTAATGTCGTGCAAGGGATGCTATAGATGCGACTCACCTCTCTAGTAGTTAAATTTTCATTTAGTAGAAGCGCATATATAGTAGCTTGAATAGGCGTTTCTATAATACTTCAGCGAAGATATAAAGATTAAGTGCATCGTGTATGTACTGCGTCGAAAGTGGGCCACTCTGTATCCTACGCTGCTCGGAATTTTCTCTGCACACTGACTGACAGGGCATCATGTGCAACTTGAGCCCCCGCTTTACTTTGTCACAGGTGACACCAGTCGCATCGTAACCGCGTCCCCCCAAGAAGCCGAATTCATCATAGCATAGTGCAAGTGTGCGTCATCTATCAAAAGACCCTACTCAAATGATTCGTGCCAGCACTGTTTTTCGATGAAAACTTGTTCTTGGAAGTCTCCACTCGTCGTAAAGGGATGGCCCGAGTGCACATATGCCAACGGGCTTCCCCACGGGCCACAACAGACTACAGATAATGCGAAACCCGCAGGCACCGTCCGGGGCAAGCCGCGCACGAGACATTGGGCTCCAAAGAGCAAAAAAGGCTGTATAACCTGTCGGTAAGCAAATAAACACTATATCGTTCGGGTAATGTGGACTGCTGGCTATGGATCTGTTACTAACTACCGGTGTGCTGTGTGCAGTATGCGCCACGTTAAATGTGACGAGGGAAAGCCCTTCTGTAGCCGCTGTATAACCGCCCGCCGCCAATGCGACGGCTACGAGGAAGCTCCCTCAAGTGATCTTGCCTCCTCCTTTGTCGACACCCACCAACCCTGGCGCGCCGGACAACTGCGGGCAATACATGCCGCCTCACAACTCGTACGCGACGAGCCACACACTATCGTTTGGCCGCCGGGTATCGAATATGACACTACCGCTATTGAGTTGTTTCACTACTTTCGCACCGATGTCGTCAAACAGTTCGCTGGTGCGTTTGATGAGAGCTTTTGGACCATGAGCTTGCTGCAGGCCACCAACATCCAGCCCGCCGTCTGGCACGCGTGCAACGCACTCGCCGCTATATACCGAAACTATCGATTAATTACAGATACAAGACATCGTTCCAAAACTGGAAAGTTTGATCCGTTAACACTCGTGGCGCTCCAGCACTACAACAAGTCCGTCCGATACATCATGGATATCGTCGAACAGCCGAAGCTTAGCCTCATCGATAAGGAGGTGCTACTCGTGACGAATATGCTTTTCACGGTTTTGTGTAGACTTAGAGCAGATTTTAAAGAGGCTCATATGCACATGCACAATGGCTTACAGTTAATTGAGCAATGGGGCATGTGCGAAACCATGCTCTCATCCGACTCGCAACGGACGAACAGCTTACTGCCCATCAACTCCCTCCGATTAATATTCTTACGTATATATTATCAAACGACGCATACAAGAAACTGGAGTAATCCTCGGTGGGAACGAGAGTACTGTGTGGGGAGTATCCTTCCGGTCCCGTTCTCTACCGTGACGGATGCTTTCTTGGAGCAGGAGCTGATCTGGCATGCCATCAGAGTGGACAAGAACCTAACACTCGAAGCGCTTAGATCAAGACAAAATTTCACTAGCATTGGTTCTATGTCTGCTGTGTCCGCATCGTACAGACTATGGAAGGTAAAATACACCAACTTCAAGCGGTCACCCCAATTTGAGACTGCTTCGGAAATCCCCATCCTCATCCTCGACATGCGGGAACAACTACTTGATATTTTAAGCCAGGCGGACTATTCCGATGTTATGTCCTGGGATAGCTTTGAAGAAAACTTTAAAGCTATTCTCGAGCTAGCGACACGGCTTTTTTATGTTGACGGAACTTTTAACAACGGACATCCGAACCTCATGAATAACCGTCAGCGGCAGTTTACCATCACGCCGTCTGTAATCGAGCCTCTATATGAAGTTGTTCGCAAGTCTAGAAACCATGAGCTGCGAAGTAAGGCGCTAGACCTTCTCAGTTGGCGGCGTGTGGATGAAGGCATGTTTGGGCCCGAGTTCATGGTGTTTCTCGGCCGTGACAATATGAATGTTGAGGAACGAGTGTGGCGAGATCCTACGCTAGCGTTTGAGACACCGGGTTGCGAGTGCATTGTGAATGAAGTTATCTGCAGGCTTCACCGCATTGCTGATGAGACGTTAGTTTTTGTCAACGAATTCGAGTTCGAGCATTGGAAACTGACGGTGACGGACGTTCAGCTGGGGCTGCCTGGCACGGTAGTGATGTTTAATACAATGCAGATGGCGCAATCCCTGCTACAACGAAAATAATTATATATTTTAATATATGTGGATTATTTATACAGTGTTCCCAATAGTGTGATATTGTTAAGAATTGGGCTATGCCCGATACCCATTCCACGAAGGGTGCCAGTGCTACCCTATACCTAGGAAGAGAGAGGCCGGTCAAGGCCCGGTAAGGGCCTTGTCAATCACTCGGGCGACGTGCTTGTTACCCCTATCCAGGGTCTTTATATAAAGTCTTCCACGAGCGGAAGACTTTAGAAGATGTTCTTTAAGCGAATTAATCACTATCTTGAGACACCCTTTCTGCCAGCTGGCCCGGGTCAGTCCGTAACAGATATGGTCATATATTACCACCATTTTATGTGATCATATCATATATGATATTACCCAGTGGCTATCATATAATATATGATCTAGACTTAGTATAACGTAGTTCACGGGTGAGCGGCCCACACGAGTGAGTGGCCCACCTAAAAACACATACAAATTAATACAATTTTAATTCCTCCAATAAATCCAGTTTAAATATATTAATCCTACTAAAATATTATATAATAAATAAAAAATAGATTTCTTAGTCAATTTTAAATCTTAGAGAGTTTTAATAAGTAGAATATAGCTAGATAGGAAAAGTGGGTCCAAATATTCTCACTTTTGATAACTAACTATGTTTTAAATTAGCTATATTTTTTAGGATTAAAATCGATTAAGAAAACTAATTTTTCTTTATTATGGAATATTTTTATAGTATTAATATATTTAAACTGGATTTATTGGCAGAATTAAAATTGTATTAATTTGTATGTGTTTTTGGGTGGGCCGCTCACCCGTGAACTACGTTATATGATATTGCTATAATATATTTGTAACGAAGTGGCTTGCACTACGTAGGGGTCTGTCCTATGTAGTAGAACAGTTGCGGTGTAAGTGGACTAAGTCCAAGAGCAGTAGTAACAAAGATAGGGTTAAGCGGTCGTTAAGGAGTTATCCTCAATTAACAAGTAATTGCTTAGATTGATCACTGAAGATCTGAACTATCCTAAAGGCTAACTAACTATCTACTTATATACTTTGTTCATCTCTTCGTGATCGCTAGGATCGCTAGCGATCCAAGCTATCCTTTTCCCTGGGTCGCTATGATCGCTGGCGACCTAGGCGATCCACGTGGTCACGTGATCGCGGGG